GTTTCTGATGCTCTCAGGTAGGGCATTAAAAAGGCGCACACCTTCGAAAAATAATGATTTTTGTAATGCTGTAGTTTTAACTGGTTGAATGTGGAAGTTTTGCCTTGAACGGATATTATGGTCATGGAAATTAGACCTCTTGTCTAGAAAGCTTTTTAAGTAAGTAGGCATCTTATTGTGTTCTATTTTATAAATTAAAGTGATATTTGCCTTTTTAATGCTCTGTACAATTGGTAACCAGTTTAATGACTGCAGCATACTTTTAATAGGTGTATATTTATCACAGTTAAGTATTATCCGCATTGCCTTATTTTGTTGTATCTGTAGTCTTTGTATGTCTTCCTGGTTACAAGATACAAGAAGTGAGCAACAATAGTCAAAATGCGGCAATATAATGGTGTTGAAAATTAACAGTTTAGTCCATTGAGATAAACACATTGAGATGCGATAAAAAAATCCGATCTTTTTGCCTATTTTTTTACACAAATAATCTATTTGGTTGGAAAACGATAATTGCGGGTCTAGATAAACACCCAAGTATTTAATCTCTGGAACCAAGGAGATAACTGAGTCACAAATTTTGACATTCAGGCCTAATTCTGCATATTTTTTACAGTTTGCCCTAGAACCTATAATCATACACTTTGTTTTTTCAGCATTTAATTTTAACCTATTTTTGCAAAGCCAGTCATAAAGAGCTATAAGCTCGTTGTTCAAAATCTCAGTAATTTCCCTAAGGTTTTTTCCTGATACAGAAATTAAAGTGTCGTCTGCAAAAAGATTTACAAAAGACTTGCTCAATACCTTATGAATGTCATTTACATAAATGATAAAGAGGAGGGGACCAAGAACACTTCCCTGCGGGACTCCAAATAAACTTTTTCTTTTATTGGAAATATTAGACCCTATCCTAGTTTGCTGAAATCTATTGTCTAAATAGTCCTTAATCCATTCTAATGCTATGCCGCCGAGACCATAGGACCTTAGTTTTTTAATGAGGATATCTCTATCAATGGTTTCAAAGGCACGTTGCAGGTCCACAAACACACTAAGCACCACGTTGTCCTCATTCATGTCTTTCCTCCACATTGCACATACATATTGCAGGGCTGATTCGCAGGAATGGTCACTTCTAAACCCAGATTGTCCGAGGTATAGTAAGCCATTAAGTTCAAAGTATTTTCTTATCCGCTGACACACTATAGTTTCAATTATTTTATCCAGAACTGGAAGCAGATTAATTGGCCTAAATTCGGCTGGTACGGTTGGCTTAGAAACTTTGGGTATAGGAATTATTACGCTAGTCTTCAACTCACCAGGCACTTTTCCGGAGGAGAGAGAGGTGTTTATTATATAAAGCATAGCATAGCCAATTACACAAAACAGATTTTTTACTAGCTTTACATTTAGTGATTCATCACTGGTGCTTTTGTTTTTTAACTGAAAAACTGTTTTTTTCAACTGTGAGAGGTTAATGGGCTCAAATTGCAGCAATCGAAGAGTGTTGCTTTGAGTGACATGAGAGTCCCACTGTTTTTTCTCTATGCTTTCTGAGATTTCTTCAATACTATCTGCATAGAAATTATTGAATTTTTCCTCTATTCTTCCATCATATTGCCCAAAGTCGATCTCTTCAAAATCTATGAATTGTTTTTTGTTTCCCATGAGGTCTTTTAATGTTCTCCACATTTTTTTGCTATCCCCTTTACATCTATCTATATTCTGGTCATAATATTTGATTTTTTCCGCCCGTATTACTGACGTTGATCTATTGCGGAAAATTTTATAGTCGTTCCAGTCTTCGGTTCTTCTGGTGAGGCAAAATTTTCTATATGCATTGTCTCTCTCTTTCTGCGCTTGGTTAACTGCTGTTGTGATCCAGGGATGCTTTCTTGACTTATGTTTCCTTAGCGGCGCAGTTTTGTCTAATGCTAATTGAATTACACTAATGAAATCGGTATATAAGATATTGACATCTGTGGATGTGTAATTCCAATTGGCACCTATTAATTCTACAGTCAATCTAGTCATTGTTTCGGGATTCAGGTTTCTAAAATAACTATCCTGTATTTTTTCTGGTATAATCTCAAATGATAACTTGGTACCAACAATTTCATGATCACTCACCATGGTAAACTCTCTTGGCACTTCCTTTGCACTGAAATCATTTGTTATTATATGGTCGATCAAAGTGGCTGAAACATCAGTTATTCTGGTTTCCTTTTCTACGATTTGCTTAACACCTGCTGCTTGAATTATCCTTTTCAAGTTTTTTGCGTCACTACCATTTTTTAATAAGTCGATATTCAAGTCGCCCATGATCACTGTTTTTTGCTGATGAATGCAATCCTCATTTAACCTTTCTTCCATGTACTTCAAGAATTCCCTACAGTTACCATTAGGCGATCTGTAAATGGCACCCACCATGACATTTTCTGTCTTCATTTGTACCCGTATCCATAATGCCCAATAGTTATAGTCTATAGCCTCACTACATATTACTTCGAACTTTAGAAAACTTTTAATATAAATTGTTGTCCCTCCAGTGTGTCGACTATTTGAATAGCAGTTCACTAAATTATATCCAGGTATGGCTATTTCGTCATCTCCTATATCAACAGTTAAGTGGGTCTCACTCACACATACGACAAAAGGGTTTTCATCCCGAAACAGTTGCTGAATATCCTCGGCATGCGATAAAAGTCCCTGAGCATTCACATGTATAAACAAAACACTATGCAATGAGGAAGCCCTTGATGACACTGATGATGATATTTGCTATATATAATGTGTCCTAGCTTTGACTCTTTCAACTGCTCTCATGTAGCAAATGCAGTTCTTGTCAAATACACTGTGGTTGTAGCTAATATTTGGTATTTTTAATACATCACTGGCGTGCTTGCAATTTGTACATTCTTTCACATCAGATTTGCAGTCCTCGCTTTTATGGTTCTGATTACAAACTGGACAAACATTGTTTGGCTGTTGACAGTTCGCTGCTTTATGCCCATATTTCCAACATTTGTAGCAGCGTAACACTCCCACGTACTCGTACACAGGAAAGCTGTTCCAATCTATAAATACCTTCCCAATGCCAATAAGACAGTTAAATGCTCTAGGAGATAGTTCCACAACAATATTATGCAACTGCTTATTTTTGGGAATGTACGTTCGGCTAACTTTAATAGTTATATCATCCTTATCTGTAAGACAGCTCTGATTCCTCACTCGCTCAATAAATTCTTCCTCATTATTTACGTATTTTTCATGCACACCAATAATGACGACCTTTGGATTAGCTATTTTTGGAATTTCAATAGTGTAGTTTTCAGCAAGTTCAGCGGCCGCCTTATCTTGCAGTTTTTGCAGTGATTTCTTATCTCTGCATTCAATAACAATTCCGCCTCGGCCAACGGATTTAAATTTATTTATTTCCACTGATAATTCGGACGGATTAATATTTTGGATGACTGCATGCTTTGTGATATTACTATGTTGATCCGCCTGTTTCGGTCTTATTATTAGCGGCGGAAAAGGACTTTTTTTAACTATTTCTGACCACTGAGGTTGTTCTCTGTTAGACACTGATGTATGTTCCAATTTCTTGAGTATTTCAGCTGTATTCAAACTATTTTCCGCGATCTGAAGTTCTAATTTTTCCATTTTTTTCGCTGAATTTAGCTTTTCATTAGCCACTGTAATACAGTCGTTGCAGTACCAGAACACATTTTTACAATCGCTGATCGCCCTATACCAGGTATCCTTTATAGAAACACACTGAGGATGATAATACTGATCGCATAGTTTACAAATAACCGACTTCGTACTCACTATAAAATTTTCAGAGCATCGAGCGCACACATGTGCACCGGACGCCATCCTGACTAAGACTGATAATGAAGAGCAAAGGGCCCAAGACAGAGCCCTAGGGCACCACACTCAATGCTGGGTGCTGCTCAGTGCTCAGATATCAAATCAAAATAAGCTTTATAAGCAATAAGCAAAATACAGATATTAAAAAGTATTACAGGGGCAGCAACAATCAATAATGATATCTAATAGGTAAAAAGCTTGAAAAAATGTGTTACAAACAGGTTCATAAACGTAGAGACTGATTTATTGGTTCTTATCTAAAATACAGATGAACTAAATGTTTTTAAAATTGGAGAATGTTTTGAGCATAAAAAGACCTTTTCCAAGATGACATAGAGCTGTCAATTTTATGTACACAAGGTACTATTTGGCTCCCTAATACTCACCTGTAAATTTCAAATATTCAACGCAAATATTTTATATTCAACATTGTATTCAAGTTAATACCTGAGCAGGGGGGGGGGGGACTTTTGGTTTTGCACACAGAAATTTTTTTATAATCCATTGTGCAGTTTCAACTCATTTGTACTAAATCAATGTATCTGAGTCATGAATAACTTGGATATTGAAATTGAAAGCAACCAAACTCAAACAAAAAGGTATTAAAAAACGATCCTCACAATATATTATTTATCAAAACAAACACATCCAGGAGGATAATGTCTAAAAAAATGCCTACACAATTAGTTTACAAGCTATTTTTGTCATACAGTATTAATTTGGTTTTTCGTTTGGAAGAATTACTCTAGTTGTTTAAGCACTGAAAATATGATTTCAACTACTGTCATACCTTCAGAAGAAAATTATTTTCCTTGTGAAATATTGCAATTTGCAAACAATATGGAATATACTATGAAATCATTTTCTAGTTGAAACTAATGTTTGTTTCAGCTATTCAAATTCCAGAAACATTACGTCCCGAATATATTTCTTAAAATTAACTTGAAGAATGATCTAATATAGAAACAATGTACTTATTCGATAACAAATGGGCTATAATTACAGTTGCTTTATCGCCCATTGGACAAAATAAAACAAAACGTCGATGACTCATTATAAATTTTTTCTTTAAAAAAAAGTTGCCGACTATGGAAATTAATGGAATTATGGGATGTTATGTATTTTACCTGATAGATTGGTTGATTGTAGAATAACGCCAGAATTAACATCCAGCACCCGTACCAAGCCCTCGCCAGTGCAAATCAGGATAACATTGAGCGTAGGATGGTAAATGATCTCTTTAACGTTTGTGTCCACTTTCAAGTAACCATCCTTGCTGAGGGGCAAAGGATCGTCGCCCATTATTCCGCCACTTTGCACATCCTGCGCCATCAAAAATTGTTTGTTTTTATATTCACTGGCACCCAAAAATCAAGACATTTGTTGCTGTTGATTGGATAGTCGATTAATGAAAATTACAACGAGATGGGAATTATTATTGTTCCCCGATCTTTTGGACAGGCGACATGCAAGAAGAACGAAAAATGTTGAATGAATGAAATGAAATGGATAATGAAATGAAAAATGAATTATTGAATGATGTCACTGCCTTGACAAATGGATGACAGAAGTTTTCATTTGTATCTGCTCTAAGAGCTGCTTTCGAGTGCCGCCCTTTGAGCGCTTCCGAGCTACTCTAAAGTACTCCGGTTACAGTTTGACCCGTTCGGTTTCAAGCGTTCGTGTGCAGCAATGCAAAACGCATGGAGTATGACAGGTGTGAAGTGTTCTAGGAGCTCTGGGGCCGAGATTCTAAAATCACGATTCGACACACGACTCGACAACGATACCGGCCTTGTCGTGTCGAAAGCTATAATTCCAATGAGATTTCTAACCTAGAATCGTCGGAAAAATCGTCTCGTTGTCGAATCGTATGTCGAATCGTGATTTTAGAATCCCCGACCTGCACTCTGGCCACTCTGCACCCGAAAGCGGCTAAGATGATTCGGGACTGCTATTCCGAACACAATAACAATCTAAAATCTCATGTTCTCGCTTCGGAAATCTAACAGAATGAAAACTCCTTTGTTGGTGTGACAGAGTGACAGATCGAAAAACGCTACCGGTTGTTTGCACCGTAAAATACGGTGAATTCGAAACGCGCTGTTGCTGTGGCTGTTGGCATTTGCATCGGACATCTGTCATCCGATTGTCAGAAATCCGCCATTGCGCCATCAAAAATGGACTGGAAGTGTTGTTTTCAATAATAAAATATAATTTATAAACAAATTTATAAACTCCTAAAACATTCATAAAATAAGTAGATACATTTTATCTTAAAACAAAAAAGTTTTCTTCTTTACAAACGCAAGTTACATCGCAATGGGAGTTCCGGCATTTTTCAGGTGGCTCAGCCGCAAATATCCATCTGTTATAGTGCATTGTGTAGAGGACAAGGTAAATTTTCAAATATATTTCCATTTATTTGCTTAGCTAAAACATAAATATTCCAGGCAGTAAATGTGGACGGCACTAGAATCCCCTTAGATTCATCTCAACCTAACCCTAACAATGTAGAATTTGATAATCTATATCTGGACATGAACGGCATTATACACCCTTGCACCCATCCAGAGAATCGTCCTCCGCCAAAAAACGAAGACGAAATGATGGTCGCAATATTCGATTGCATTGACAGACTATTTAACATTGTCAGACCCAGAAAGTTGCTTTACATGGCCATTGACGGAGTGGCTCCTAGGGCTAAAATGAACCAGCAGAGATCCAGGCGTTTCAGGGCTTCCAAGGAAACTTTGGAAAAGATTAACGAAATCAAACGAGTAAGAGCTGATTTATTGATAAAAGGTTGCGTCTTGCCTCAAGAAAAGCCCAAAGAAGAACATTTTGATTCCAACTGTATTACACCAGGAACACCGTTTATGGCCAGATTATCTGACTGCTTACACTATTACATTCATGATAGATTAAATAATGATCCAGGGTGGAAAGGCATTAAGGTTATTCTATCTGATGCCAATGTGCCTGGCGAAGGTGAACACAAAATAATGGACTATATCAGGAGGCAAAGGGCGCAGCCCGATCACGATCCCAATACTCAACATGTACTTTGTGGGGCAGATGCAGATTTAATTATGTTGGGATTGGCAACACACGAACCAAATTTTACTATTATTAGGGAGGAATTTAAACCTAATCAGCCCAGACCTTGTGAAATTTGTGCACAAATAGGTGAGAATCTATACTATTGATTTATTTCACATGAAATTCACATTTATAATGAAACAGTAGTATAGCAACAAAAGTTGTTTTACTGGATTGCATATTTTACACATTTTGATTGTAATATAATTTAATGTTTCTTCTTGAAACTATTCTCTTGGCCATTGCAGAAAAAATTCTATTCTCCATATTTATTTTATAATTGTTGTGCAGACCACTTGCATAGTTACAATCCAGGGGAGTTTCTGCTTTTTGCAGCTCTTTGAATTTTGAAACTGGGAGAAACTTTTGTAAGAAAATCTGCTTCTCAATGCCTCAAAGAGTCCTGGACCGGATGGTCTCTTCCCAGTGTTTCTTAAAGGGTGTTGCATATCTCTAATAGAACCTCTGAATCATATTTTCCAACTTTCTTTCGATACTGGCATTTTTCCCAGAAGTTGGAATATCTCAACTTTCCCTATCTACAAATCAGGAGATAGCACTCATGTGAATAATTATAAAGTCATATCTCTATTCTCTACTATTGCACATTCCTAAAATTATAGGATTCATTCTCACAGACGATGTTTATTCATGCTTTAGTAACTACATTGCTAACACAGCACAGTTTATGCAAGGGAAAATCCACTGCTACAAATATTGCTGTCTACCAACAGTTCATTATCAAAAATATCCATCACTGTGAAATTTTACAAGGGGAACTTGACTTTTTCTTCAACTGTGGTGAAGATAATAATGTGGCACTGAACACATATTTTCTTCAACTATTTAATGAATGAAAGCTGGCAGCACATTTTCATGAAATCTTTACATTTTCAGGTCATGAAATGAAAGATTGCGTTGGTGGAGTAAGAAGTGAACATGGTCAAGAACCCACTATTCCAATCACAGCAGACGTGAATTTTATTTTTGTCAGACTAAATGTTTTAAAGGAGTACTTAGAAAGGGAGCTTGTAATGCCCAATTTACCTTTCAAATATGAATTTGATAGGGTATTAGACGATTGGGTATTCATGTGTTTTTTTGTTGGTAATGACTTTTTGCCTCACTTGCCTAGTTTGGAAATTAGAGAAAATGCTATTGATCGACTGATTAAGTTGTATAAGGATTGTGTTTATAAAACTGGCGTGAGTAATTTGATTTTTATTATTAACAAAACAATAAATATAAAAATTTCAGGGTTATCTGACAGATAGTGGTGATGTGAACCTAGAAAGAGTCCAAATGATTATGTTGGCTCTAGGCAAAGTAGAAGACGAAATTTTCAAGAACCGTCAACAACGTGAAATATCATTCAAGCAACGAGAAAAGGCCAAAAAGCGAAGAGAAGCTTACAATGAATACAAACCAAATTTGGCCATGTTAAACAATACACAGTTTGCACCGAAAGCTGTCGGACAACACAGCTCAGTTTCCAATGCCAGACAGGAAGCCTTCAACATGAGAAAAGCTGGCATGCATAGCCAAACAGACTCTCAACTCCAAACAGTTAACTCAAAAACAGCCTTAGAGTCTATGTTCAATAGAGAAGGCCAAGATGGGCAGAGAGGCGAGAAACGTAAACGCGAAGAAGACGATGAAAGTGACGACGATCAAGCCCACGATGAAGTCAGGCTTTGGGAAGACGGTTTCAAGGATCGCTATTACGAATCCAAATTTGACGTTGGTCCCGATCAGTTGGAGTTCAGATATAATGTTGCGTTGCATTACGTCAGAGGCCTTTGTTGGGTCTTGAAATACTACTATCAGGGCTGCGCCTCATGGAAATGGTATTATCCTTACCATTATGCTCCTTTTGCTTCAGATTTTTGTAATATTGCCGGCCTCAGTACAGAATTTGAGACTGACACCAAACCGGTAAGGAATTGTTTTGTAATTTGAGTTATTTTGTGTTAGATGCTAGGGGTCCATTTAAAAATGTAAGCTCTGTTATTTTGGTTATTTTTGAACTTTCATATTAATCACATTATACATTGTATGGTACAGTATAATTAAAGTCCAGTTATCAATTGTTCACTTTGGCAATGTTTATTTATTTATTTATTTATTTATTTATTTATTTATTCACGGGATGTCCCCATTTTACAAAAGTATAATTACATTAAGTAATTACAAAATATTCCATTCTAACCAATCAAATTAACAATTATAATATAAAATTATTTAGAGATAATCTGGCAACTTAAATAAAACAAAAATAAAAATATTCCATTAAAACTAACATTTTCGCTAATACCCAGATTCAATTTATATTTCCAATATACCTGCTCAGACACTGCTTAAACCCTGTATATTTAATATCAATCAGATCATAATACTGGTTGAATTCATTTCCCAAAATCTGAATTCTATTAATAGGAGAAAATTTACCATAGTTTGTGCGATGGTACACAACCGAAAACAAAGGCGAGTTTCTGAGAGTACGCTCACTGCATCTAAAGTTCATTAGACCCAGCAAATCGGGACAATGAATATCGAAATTGAGCAGCTTATATAAAAAGTTCAAGTCACAGATAACTCTGTAATCTTCCAGAGAAATGAGGTTCAACCTCGATCTCAGATCCACCAGCGATATATTTTGCAAGTTAAGTCTCCAAGCACAAGTTTTAAGGAACCTGTTCTGCACCCTTTCAAGGGTGAAAATGTGACTTGAATAATGGGGAGACCATACTATCGAAGAATAAGACAAAATACTACGGACAAGTGTTAGGTACAGGACTCTAAAAGCAGACACCGAAAAATCCCGTGAGTTCCTAGTGATAAAACCAAGACTACGAAGAGCTTTACCTGACAATCCATTGATATGGGGAATAAATGACAGGGAGCTGTCAAACAACACTCCCAAATCCTTAAATTCAGTGACTTTTGAGAGAAAATGTGAACCAATATGATAATCGAACACCATTAGCTGTTTAGCTTTAGAAAATGACATAGCAAAACATTTATCCTTATTAAGAAGTAAGGCATTGGAGAGAGACCAGTTAAAAAGCGAGTTCAAGTCTTCCTGGATCATCAGACAGTCGGACAAATTTGAGATTTTAAGGAACAATTTGAGATCGTCTGCAAAAAGTAAAAATTTGCAGAACTTTATTTCCTCTCCAATGTCATTAATGAACAAATTAAAAAGAAGAGGGCCCACATGCGAACCTTGCGGGACCCCAGATGTAACCGATATGGCGGACGAAGTCGAACCCTTGATATTCACAAATTGAACCCTATCCCTCAGGTAACTACTCAACCAGGAAAGCAACCACTCAGGAAACCCGTACAAACTTAGCTTACGAATGAGCAATGCGTGGTTGACCGTGTCAAAGGCCTTCGAGAAGTCGGTATAGATGGAATCGACCTGGTAACCACCCTCGAAAGCCCCGACAATGTAGTTGTGATACAGAACAAGATTAGTAGAGGTAGACTTGCCCTGTCTAAACCCGTGCTGTTGGTCTATTAAAAGATCCCTGCAGTGCCATGCCAGGTGTTTGTTCAAGATTGACTCGAAAAGCTTAGGGATAGCGGATAGCATAACTACTGGCCTATAATTCTTTATATTATCTCTCTCGCCGTTTTTGTATACGGGAGTTATAAAGCTGTCACGCCATTTACCAGGGAAGGTCTGTAATTTCAGAGACAGATTGAATAAGATTTGTAGAGGTTTAGACAAACTAAATACACATCTTTTCAAAAAATATGTAGGAATATAATCAGGGCCACAGCTAAGCTTATCTTTAAGACCAATGATAGATTCAAAAACCTCAGAAAGATCAAACTGAATGAACGGGACGTCAACCGTGTTTTTCGCTGCAAAGCCAGGCTCAACGTCTATCTTTCCAGTGCTGTACACACTGGAGAAATGACTAGCAAACAAGTTAGCTATGTCCACGCTTGATTCAGCTGTCACGCCATTGAACTGCATTACATCAGGAATTCCATGGCTTTTATTCAAGGAATTAAGATGATTCCAAAATAGTTTAGAATCAGAATGAATTGATTCATCAATAGTAGAAATATAAGAATGATAACATTGCTCCGTCAATGCCCTACACTGAGTCCGAAGACTAGAAAACAAAGTGTAATCAGCAGCTGACCGGCTAGATTTGAAGTTTGAATGAGCAGCCTTTTTTGATAAAACGAGACCTTTTAGTTCCGGTGTGAACCATCGAGGAAACTTTGATGGCCTATAGGTTTTCCTAGGTACATAATGTGAAATTACATTTGAAATCAGTTCATAGAAATTATTAGTGGAGATATCAATATCTGATTTGTTAAAAACAGTGTCCCAGTCAACTGAGCACAGGTAATAATTCAAATCAACAAAATTTGCATTTCTAAAATCTAGATATGTGGTTTTATAGTCCAGTTGATGAATCCTATTGTCCTGAATAATATCACAAATAATCGACACATGATGATAATTGTTTGGTAGTAGAGTGTCAACTGCCTGCTGGATCGATAGTTTTTGGTAGTCACTAATACTGTTGAAAACGAGGTCCAGAAATACTCCATGTTGATTAGGTACTACATTAGATTGCATCATATTAAGGTATGAGAAAGACTCGCATACATGTCTTGCTGGATAATTCTGTGGGCAGTGAGTCGAAAGGCCTTCGTCTGCTGAATAGCACCAAGTAGCAAGTGGAAGGTTGTAATCGCCAAACAAAAACAGCGGCACTGCTGGCTCATCAGTCCTCAACTCTTCGACAGCGGAGCAGTGGGCAAGATAGATATCCTCTGTAGAATTCGGCGGAATATACACACCACCCAGAATAGAAGATCCTGATCCAAAATCAACCTGGACAAAAAGATGCTCTACATTCAAAATATGCGTTTTAATCAATTTAGCCTTAAATTTATTTTTTATTAACATTAAAACTCCACCTCCACGTTGTTTAGTACTAGTTCTTGAGTTACGATCCTGCCTGAAGATTTGATAATTTGAGTTTGACAGTTCATTATCAGAGTAGCCATCATTTAGCCAAGATTCAACCAGAATAACAGCATCATAATCACATTGAGAAATTGCACAGCGCAACTGGTCGAGCCTAGTACGTACTCCACCCAGATTCTGATAATAAATTGATATTGAGCCTACCATCCTTAATTTTTTGAAGGAGGTTTCTTGCTTACAGTGGGTTTTCCATTAACAAATTTAATAAACAAGTCAGGCTCTCCCTTTTCTTCACGCGAGCGTAGTTCAGCCAAAGTGGCCCTAAATTGATCCCTTTGAAGCTTAGTTTTGTCATAGCTCATCTTAATGCTGTCAGCTTTAATTCTGTTTCGTTTTGCTATTGCACTTCTGACTAAGCCTGAATCCTTTGTTACTAATTTCAATGGCCTAGTCTTACCCTCTGATAGCTGTCCCACTCTCAAAACCCTGACGACATCGTTCTGGTCAAGCCCAATATCGTCAAGAACTGGTGAAAGCGCCGTCTTATCATCAACCACTCTTTGCTGCAAATCGCCACTCCTCGATTCAGGAACACCATAAACCATCAGATTATTTGCCCTCTCAGCCCGTTCCTGGATTTCAAGAATCACTGAGTCAAACCTAGCTGGGTCGCTAGTATCCGGTTGTAAGTTATTCTGCTTAATAACTTCAATTTCTTCCTTCAGTGATTTGATTTGCTCCTCAAGCTGAATGAACTTGTTTGTAAGTAGAGGTATTTTTTTAAAAGACAGCACACAATCATCACAAAAAAACAACATAATTCGTTTTTGAACAACTATGGCCCTCTGTTCACTCGCACAGAGTCCTGAACATTTTTCCTCAAGATGGAAAATCACACGGCAGCTATCGCATCGGGGAGCCTTTTCTGCTTGTTCAGCGCTGATTGGCTTGGAACATTTATGGCAGGGTTTCATTATGCAAAAATAACCTCAAAAACTTGAACCAACAAAATACAACTCCAGACAGCAATTGTCGCAAAAACCAATTGAAGCAGTATATTCGGCACACACTACTCCACCAAGAACTTCACTCTCCTCGAAAAAACCATAACTTATTACTATTAAAATTATGAAAAATAATCGGAGCCAAAATAAACACAATGTGATAATTTGAGGTTAGGTTAGTCTTTTTTGTCAATGTTGTTGAAAAAGAACCAAAGTCTTACCCAAAAAACTACACTCAAAATCACAAAATTGTTTCACCATTATACAGCAACATTAAGCTACATCCACAACGAAAGCAACATATAGGAACATGGTGTTTATGTTGCTTGTTCCTGGTACTTGTTTCTTTATGTTTCCAAAAGTTTATTCAAGTTGCTCATATTTTGGTGTGGACAGAATGTTTACGGAACTTTTGCTGTTGTTTCTGTTTCCATAAACAGGTTACAGCAACCAGCAACAAAATGTTCCTATGCGGTGTGGACTAAGCTTAATATACATAAGCAGGTATATCAAAAAAAAAAAAATTTGGAATAAATAGAAGTCAATTTAATTTCAAGCCTAGTCATCACATAAAATTCTCTTGTAGTCCTTCCTAAATCTACCCTTTGATAACATATTATAAAATTGATGGTCATTCAACAAGAAGGATTAAAATAAACGATCTTTGATATTATTGACATGAAATATTTATGTCTATGTGAAACATAATATGATTATGACTATCTTAGGTATGTACCAATTTACGCTGATTCAACAATTGTTTCTATTTTAGTTTAATCCATTGGAACAGTTGATGGGCGTCTTTCCAGCCGCAAGTAGTAAACACGTACCAGAACCCTGGGCGCCGCTCATGTCAGATCCTGAATCTCCCATCATAGATTTTTACCCGGAAGACTTTAAAATCGATTTAAACGGTAAAAAGTTCGCTTGGCAAGGTGTGGCGCTGTTGCCGTTCGTCGAAGAAGAGCGCTTGTTCAAGGCGCTCAAGCCCTACTATTCCGACTTATCTGATGCTGCGATAAAGCGTAATATACGAGGCGACGACAAATTGTACGTTTCCACCAAAAACGAAGGATACGATTTATTGAGTGGCCTTTACAAGCAGGAAATTGATCGACAAGCCGAATGCGCTATTGCAATTGAAGGTATGAGGGGTACTGTGTTGCTTAGTGACGATTGTGTCAAAGGAGAAGAATTAAATTCACCGGTTAAGGGTTTACCAGTGATTTACGGAAACATAGTAGTTTGTGTAAGATTTAGAGATCCCAAATATTCCAAAGGATATATTTTTCCTGCTGTGAAGCTGAAAGGGGCTAAAGAACCGCCCAGAGTGCTGAAACCAGAGGATTTAAATCCACAAGCGAATAGGAATTGGAGGGCTCAGATTGGAATGGCACCAGCCACACAACGGTTAGTAGATAATTAGTTAGTTTATTTTATTGTTTAAAATGTTGGCTGTTCTAGGGCAAACCTTGATCATGCTGGTCACAGGATGTTGGGCCATTACACGCCGCGCAACGATCATAGGGAATATGCCAACATACCACCACCCTCTCATTTAGACGGTAACAGGAACAGGAATAATTATGGTGGAGGCGGAGGTAAATATATATTTTTTTGATGATGATTGATTAATAGTCAGTGCTGAAGGTCAGTAGTCTTAGTTTTTGACTAAATTGTGATCACCTCCTAAATAAATCCAATACTATTGAGGATTCAGATATATTATCTTTTTCTTATAATTGCTAATAGAAAAAGTCTGTTCTTAATGTGGGACTCCTAATTCAACTGGCTTTCTAATGTGTTGAATTCATAACAGTTTCCAAGTGCAACGGTGTTTATTATTTAGAATCAATTTTTTTGTTGATTATGGATCTTGAGTCATATACACAAACTATCCACACAAATAAATTTAACTGACAGGTGAATCTAACTAATGAAAAATAGATCTTTCCAGAAAAATTTAATTCGTGTGCTCCACGATCAAAGTGAGTAGATCTGAGTTAGATCAGCCTGTAGCCTATATTATTTACTTTGCTGTAGTAGTGTTCACTTTAGCTTGGTTCTGACACCTCAACCAAACCAAAAATGTGTGCCTAGAATCCGAAATTCGAATACAGAGTGATTTGAAAACCGTTCATGGGAGGGTTTTTTGAGTTGTTGGAACCAAGGGGCAATACACTAGGAATTTTTTGCCAAAACTGTGGGGAATTTAGAGGAATTTGTGAAGAATTTGAAGGAATTTATGAGAAATTGGAGGAATGTATGAAAAATTGTGGGAATTTATTGGTTTTGATACTGAGCGTAAGAAAAAGGAAATACATTTCTTATCATAAACAATTTTGGGGATTTTAGGGAATTTGTAACATGCATTTGCAGGAAATTTGCGAGCAGTTTGGAGTAATTTGCAGGGAATTTGGAGGAATTTATGTTAAATTTGGGGAAATTTGTGGGAAGTTTGAGGAATTATTTGTATTTGCTCAAATTCGGGGGGGAAGGAGGTTTGTTTACCCTATTATAATTTTGGAAAGAATTTATCATTTGTATGGCTGTGTATCTGGGAGACATTGTCCCCCTTTTATAAATGGTGTCATGTAATATTTTTTCTCTTCGAACATTAAATAATACATTCATTCTTGCTCGATATCAAATTGATTAATGATACAAATTCAACACGCCCCGTGGATTCCACGGCCTGTCGACCAATCAAATTCTCCGTATTTTCGGAAAACACGGGCCGCAACGAGACAATACAAACAAAACTGACGTCTATTGTCAGATCACGAAACTTTGAAACATCTTTCAAATTACAAAAAATTAAGTCGGGTTTAGACTTTTGATGATGTTATTTCTTACAAAAACTAATGATTTTCTTATAAAAGTTCGAAGAGAAAGTATAGTACAACGGTCGAAATTTGATCGTGGCGCCATCTAAGACAAAATTTCAACACCAAGCAGCAATTTTCGCTGCAATATGGTGACTGAGTAATCTAATCGGCCAACCAAATTTCAGTTCGTGGGGAAACCCAGAATAGGAAAACCTATTATCCACTGATGAGAAAATATTTGGTTTGATTTTCCATGCTTTTCTATCCATAGACGCGTTTCGACCTATCAGGTCTCATCAGTAAAACAAACATTATCATCAAGTATGTCAAAGGCATTCCAACGATACTTGAAAATCCCTCAAAAAACTAAACAACAGCCAAGTAATTGAGATCTCCTTTTGGTACAGCAATCTTAGCTCAATCGTAAACAAAATAGACGAGTGGAAAGCTAGAGTATCTGCAACAAGCCCAACTATTATTATGTTGTCAGAGACCTGGCTTAGTACAGATATAGATACTGCAATTCTAAGCCTAGATGGTTACAACATCTACCGTAAAGATCGACAAAATCAAAGAGGAGGAGGGGTTTGTATTTGTATAAAGAGCCAGGTCGATGGACACAGCCTGATCTGTAGTACTTCTCAAGATTTTAATACGACCAATCCTGTTGATGGGCTTGGGCTGGATATACAAATAGATAAAATGAAGATTCATGTTGCATGTATTTACAGGCCAGGAAACACAACCAGTGAGGAAGCCAACACTCAAATGATTGCTGCTATCAAAGAAAGCTATTCAAAAAAGAATCCAACATTTATTTTAGGAGATTTCAATTACCCAAATATAAACTGGGACAATTTAACAGTTTCCCCACCAGATAAAAAGACCCAAGACTTTATGGACATGTATCAAGAAACAAATGCACATCAAATTATAAATTTTTCTACAAGGTACAGAAACGATCAGAGCTCTTTATTGGATCTATTTCTATGCAACGATCGTAAAAGTATTTTTGACTTAAAGCCAGAGGCGCCAGTTGGACGCAGTGACCACATCATTATCACTGCTAAATATCAACTAAAAATTCCTCCCAAACCAACAAAAACCATACTAAGGAGAAACTTTTACACGCCAAACTATGATCAAATAAACAGTTTTATCACCCAGCAAACTGTATGGGAAGAAGATACCAAGTTTGGAAGTTTCAACAAAAATGTGATGGAGGCTATAGAGCAGTATATACCAGTTAAGTCGGTTAAAATAAATCACCAGAAACCATGGATAAATCAACATTTGTTTGGAGAAATAAATAGAAAACGCAAATTATGGGATAAATACAGAAGTAACAGAACAATTGAAAATTATCAAGTATATACTGCTCAAAATAACAGACTGAAACAAAAGCTTACTCAAGCCAGAACAAAATTTGAACATGGACTGGTTAAAGATAAATCACAAAAGAAGATCTTTAAATACATCAGCAAAAACTTAAATTCAAAAGTGACAACTATATCTCTGAAAGATTTAACTACGCTTGAAGTGCTAGACAACGAAACCACAGCCAAGACCTTTGCAGAACAATTTAACAAAGCCTTTTCACAGGAAACCTTTGCAATGCCACCACTCCCTGTTTGCACTAGAGCCCAAAACTCAATTGATACAATGCACTTTACCGAGGAAAAAGTGAGTGGCGCATTAAAGAGAATGAAAACAGACTCAAGCCCAGGACCAGACAACATACCAACGATCTTCCTGAAAAATTGCAGCAATTCATTAAGCTCACATCTGGCAGAAGTGATGAATGAATGTATGGAAACCGGTGCTATCCCTAAGGAGTGGAAACAATCAATAGTAACACCAATTTTTAAAAAAGGAGATAGGCACAAACCAGAAAATTATCGTCCAGTCAGCTTAACATGTAACCCACTGAAGTGCATGGAAAAAATCATTGTTGAGGAACTAACAGCCTTTTTCCAAACTAATGATCTTATTCCCACATCCCAACATGGTTTTCTTCCAAGGCGCTCCACAACCACAAATTTGCTAGAATGCCTAGACGATTGGACAGCAAACCACGATAAATCGCAGCCTACTGATGTGGTGTATCTTGACTATGAAAAGGCGTTTGACAAAGTCCCACATAACTTACTTATTGGCAAATTAGAGCACTTTGGAGTACGAGGACAGCTGCTAACGTTAATAGCAGATTCACTTAATGAAAGACACTACAAAGTCAGAGCTAATGGAGTATTGTCCAACCGGCATCCAGTGAGCAGCGGAGTTGTCCAGGGCTCGGTCCTGGGACCTTTACTCTTTACTGTTTACCTCTTCGATTTGGTTGACATCATACAGTGTCCAATGAAAAACTTTGCAGACGATGGAAAACTGTACATTAATCCACTTATTGGTGCCCATTTACTTAAAACAGACCTAGAAAATATTGATAGCTGGTCCAGAACATGGGGGATGAAGCTAAACGCATCAAAATGTACAGTGCTTCGAATTGGGCCAAACAATCCAAACACACAGTATACTCTTAATAACACGACCCTCACATCAGTGAAAGAACAGAATGATCTAGGAGTCATTATAACATCTGATCTGAAATGGGAGACACATATAAAGAAAATAACGAAAAAAGCAAACTCTTTTGTATATCTCATAAAGCAAGCTTTTAGGGACCATTCAGTGGAAATGATAACGAAGCTGTACAAAAGTTACATAAGGCCAAAAGTTGAATATGCATTTACTGTGTGGAATCCCTATTATATAAAGGACATTGAACTCCTAGAAAGGGTTCAGAGAAGAGTTACAAAAATTCCTCTAGAACTTAGGTCCTTACCATATACAGAAAGGTTAGAAAGGCTCAATCTTACAACCCTTAGAGAGAGGAGACACAGGGGAGATCTAATAGAGACGTTTAAAATAACTAACGGCCACTATCAGTGCAATATTAAAAACCTTTTTCATCCAAGTCAAAATAACCAGCTTAGAGGCCATTCTAAAAAACTAGAGAAAGAAAAGACATCGAAAATGGTAAGAAGAAACTTCTTAGTGAATCGTGTTGTGTACTCCTGGAACGCTCTACAGGAAGAAACAATTTCCGTCGTTTCTATCAATGCATTTAAGAACAAAGTGGACTCTGAATTGAAACAGGACTTTAATAGGATGGTTCATTATGGTGTATAAACAGAAACAAACTCTCATATCAAAAGACACAATAGCTTCATCGGTTTCACCGCCTGCTATTGGTTAATTATAGAATTATAGAATTATAGTATGGCTAGGAAAAGCAAAGAAAACCAAACCAAGTTTCGTGCCTGTAGGCAATATATACATAGTACAACGGTCGAAATTTGATCGTGGCGCCATCTAAGACAAAATTTCAACACCAAGCAGCAATTTTTAGAAAGTATAGTCTTCTACTCGCAAATAATGGCTATTATTCACTCGAATGATTCCAACACTCGCCTTCGGCTCGTGTTTGAATTTTCATTCTCGTGAATAATAGCCATCATTATATGCTCGTTGAAGAATATACTATTTTTTTTTCAACAAACCGAGTAACAAACTGTCAATGCCTAACCATGCCAGAGCTTGGTGTAGTTTGAAGAGGGCTCACTAGATTGTATGGAACTAATTTAAAAAAATTGAAGCATAACCAATCCGAACTCTACTATACTTGATACTAATCCAATGTATCATTCTAAGATACTCACATTTTGGTGTTACAAAATCTGGCTGGAAGCAAGACAACTAATCTTCACAGATTG